AGCCTCATTTCTTGCTGTTGAAACTGTCAGTCGGTTGATCTGATGATAGGCCAGAAATACACATTAGAGTACAAGCTGGTAACATTAATAGGAAAGCATTTGGATCTGCATTAACAATTGCTGGGTTGTAAACATTCAAAGGGACCTGTGAGAATGTACTTTGTGTGGAAGAGGCAAACATTTTGGCATTGGAAGTAAGTATAATTCTAGTTCCAATATTAGCAAGTCAGATACACACTGCCTAGTTAATGAATCACTTTCCATCTCCTGCCCTTCTCCTCCAGCTGAACTCCAGGGAGTGACTGGGTTTGATCTCAGGGGGTGGCCATCGGCCCTAGGCACACTGTCAGACACACCAAAACACAGTGTCAAAGTGACTATTCAAAATAATAAATTATTCTTACATATACCTCCACTGATGCAAAGCCTTGAGAGAAAAGCACATTCTCTTGGGACTCATAGAGCGAAGGCAGGCTCAGAATTACTGATGACTGTAAGAGCATCAGTGTACTTTCAAGGAGTCTGGTATTTTTTTCTGGCTGCCACTCATCATAGTGTAACCCTTGGCAAGACATGAATGCAAAACCATTGCTTTCTCTGTTCAATGGATCTGCTCCATTTATCTCATAGGACTGTTCTCAAAGTTCGTTAAAAAGTATATGTAAAAATACATTAAAGACATTCTAATTGCTATTAAATTATTTGAAGACTTTTTTTCTCTCTTAATGTAGAGTTGTATACTATCCTTAGGGTCTTAAAAAACAAACAAAAAACCCTAGATTTATTATCTAACAAATGGAAATAACTGAACGACAGAAAATCCTAATTATAATTCTCCAAATTCACTAGATTCATAATTTACATTGCAATGAGTCTGCTGGTTAGGCATTGATTAAAATCACTGCTGTATAAAATGATTCATTCAATAATGCTTTGGGAATGCAAATTCAAGTTTAGCAAACAGTAACACTCTTTAAAAATGAAATAATGTTGACATTCGAGGAGATGATTAAGCAAATTAAGAAACTATAACCCAAAATGTTTTAAAATGATGTTATTGATTTCCTCGAGACTAATGGAATAGAAAATAAAACTTCAATTTATAAGTCAATTATGAACCTTTGTACTCAGGTATATTAGAAGCATATAATATTCAATAAAAAGGCATCAACACCAGGATAGGAATGTGAGCTTTCAGGTTTACAGAAACACAAGTTCTAGTTGTTAACCAACTCCTGGCACTCAACTTTTGGGGAGTCCTGCCTTGAATGCTAATCAAATGGAAATAACCTCAAGTTAACATTCTAATGTAAATCCTTTTTTAAAAAATCATAACAAGGAAACACATTCCTCTAATAAACTTAGAGGAAGGTTAGAACTGACCTTAGAGAGCATGTAGTCCAAACCTTGTTTTACAGAGCTAATGACTTTGATGCCTGGCAGCATTTTTTACTAGAATGATCAAAGACCTAAATCACTGGTTATTTCTCTGGGTAATGATTAATGCGTGTGCACTGGCGGTGTGGAATGTCGTCCATGCAACAAGGGCGTCTGCAGCAAGTGAAGGCATTGCATTTGCTCCCATTTCTTCTAAGAAAGAAGGTAGCAAGAGTTACTTCCATAAATGGTATTGCAGAGCCTAGGATTTAATAGTGACTTGGTTGGCACCTAGATGATTAAAATTAAACATGTCTAAAAACATGCAGCAGAAGAGTTAACACACTTGATTTCCTGCTCCACATTTATTGGGGGCTGGAGAGACTAAAACAGCTATTTTCCTCTCAAATAATTGGAAAAATATAGTATGACAGTAATTTCTTAAATGCATAGCAAAACTTTCTGGATTGTGAATCAACATGAGATGTAACAGCCTATAGATATCAATTGTGACAGCTTTTTAAAATGTCATTCATCTAAGGCGCTCTGAAATTGTCTCTGAAGCTACACAAATATACACGATTCTGTACACATAAAGGCGTCCATTCATGAACAGGAAGTCTTTTAGAAGCGCTGTGCAGGAAAGGTGAAAGTAATACATACATATATAGATGCTGAACAGTTTTTAAGAGTCAGTTTGGGGTTCCAAGAAGCAGTGATTTACAGTCAAATAAGCATTTGGATTTTCAGACTTGGATAGGTAAAATTTTTGTGATGCAGGCACAAGAAAAGTCACACTGTGAAGTATTCATTTTTCAAAGACCTCCTTCAAAGGAGAGATTTCAAGTCCAGAGCAAACATCCATGGCACAAGATTCTGAAATTTCCTTCCATATGACTTTCCTCCTCACCTCCCTACTGGAGAAAAAGAGAAAAATTCCTAGAAGGGGCAACGGCTAGATGTGACGCCATTACATCCAGCAGTGTTTCTGGATGGTAAGTTATTGCATCCAGATAACAATTTCGGTGGAGTTTTAAATTTCTATTTCAAATGGACTCTACCACTCCAAACGCAAGAAGATTTTGTCACAACACCCCAACATGATCATGTAGACCCTGATTTCTTCCTGGTACAGCATGAGAACCACTAGGAAAGGATAGAGCTAACAGAGAGGAGACAACGTTGAATCCTTTCACTGGCCAGTTATCCAAAATGACAACCTTGGTCTCTGTTATCAAAGTTGTCAGCTCTCTCCTTTATAAACAAACTCTCTTGATTGGCTTACATCTCAACCCTGATGCACCAGAGATATATACTTGGGTTTCACCTACCGATCTGTTCTTGTTGATTCTGACCATCTCATCCAGGCCAATTCATTTAGCTATTTAAGGATGAAGTCACCATTTCCCAGGTACTTTCCAACATTCTTAAATCCAGTTATTTCAAATCTGTTTGACAAACAATCCCACTCCTTATCCCGCCCCCCATGAGCTAATTCTGTTATAACAGTATCTCTGTGAGAAGACCATTTCTTCCGTTTTTCCAAGGAAATAACATAGATATTTTCTTCCACTTCTACTCCAAATTCAGGAGCTCCACCTTAAATAACACACCCTTTTGGGTGACTTGAAATCAGCCCATTTTAAGATTCTTTGTAGAACCAAGCTTGAAGAGTTTACTAATGGAGGAGTACATCGCCACTACTGACATTCCTGATACAAAAATTCACTTTCAGTTGAATTCCTGTGATTCCCCTGAGCAGTTATAAATGCCTTTTATGATAATGAGGCAGTGTAAGACAAAGCAAATTATTCAAATATATATACATTTATATTTATACTAATATACATTAATAGAAGAGAGTATTGATTTTTTTTCTGAAGTGTTTTGAGTTTCAAAGGAAAATAAAGACACTTAACACTGAGAAATTTCTAATAAATGATTAAAAACATTTTGGGTTGGCTGCCATTCAAAAGTATTCCCAGAGTTCTCATCAATGTTCTATACAAACTATAAATAAAAATATACATGACCAAAAGTACTATCTATATATTTCAATACGTACATGTGAATGAAAAGTTCCTTAAATATACACATCCCCACATAGGATACATTCCATTACGTAGGCAAAGCATCATTCTCTAATAACAGGCCCAGGATAGCAGCAATTTAATAATCTAGTTATTATCCAGTTACCTCAGAATTATCATAGGTCCTGAGAGTTCCTGATGTGGGGTCCCTGGCTTCAAGGAAAGCTCTCCATTATCATTTAACACAGTTCTCATGAGGCACCAGGCTACATTGCTAATGGCAATTATGTCATCCTGTGACTGCAGAAAAAGTTACTGTCTTCTCAAAACCCGTTTATTCAAAATCTGACTAATGGTATGATACAAAAAATAAGTCATTTTATTTCTTACATATTTCTGTTATTTTATCAGTGCCTTGTACATACAGAATATTCAGATTACCCTAACAGACACTAAACTCCGCTGAGAAGACAGCTCCTTGGAAATGTGTTTGAAAATACATATATAACCTGGCGGGTGTGGCTCAGTTGGTTGGAACGTTCCCTGTACATGAAAAGGTTGCAGGTTTGATTCCCGGTCAGGGCACGTACCTAGGTTGTGGGTGCAGTCCCCAGTTGGGGCGCATACAAGAGACAACCAATCGATGTTTCTCTCTCACATCGATGTTTCTCTCTCCCTCTCCCTCCCTCTCTCTAAAAACAACAAAAACAAATGTAAACAACATGATTATCAATCAGTATTTTTACAAACTGAGATGGCATGATGTCATACTAAGTATTGTTTTAAAAGAGTTATGTTTATGAGTCTATACTTGAGTAAGTTAAGAACTTGCAATCAAAATTTCCATATATAATATGCAAAAAATCTTTAGGTTGACTTACAATAAACAGTATTAGTCACAGAAGAAAATATAGAATGGCTTTTACATAAACATTTATTTTGTGCGTTGTACTATTGTGTGTGATAATTACACACTATTATTTTGTGTGTGTATCTAGGCATGCCCAGTGGATAGAAATTCTAGGTAGGCAGCAAGTTATATGGGTCCTAGGGGTACATATGGACTTTAATACTCATTCTTGGTGTGTACTTTTAGGTCTAATTCTAAATCTGTTGGGTATATGAACACAAAGCTCAAGAAAGGGCCCTGTTATCTATGATGAAGGTTTTGAACCTCTGCCACTCCACCCAAATACTTCATGTAAAACAAGCTCGTAGATAGTAGCTACTGGCTGTATGAGAAGAGTTTATCACCTTAAAAAAGTTATACTTGCCCAGAGAGAGAGGTTAAGTTAGACCATATTGTTTTACATGTGAAATCCTTTTACTGGGACAACTTCCTCTGCACAGCAGTTTCTCCTGCTTGAAGATGAGATCACTCGAGGAAAAACCCATTGTGTTCCTGCCAAGTCACTGTGGGAATGCTGGGAAAGCACGCCCAGTAGCTGGCAGATGGAGCCACCCTATCGACTCCTGAGATAAGCAGCCTGCTTTATCACTCTTATGAGAATTTTCCCTGAAATAGTCTTATCCACGGGTTTCCCCCCATATTTCCCATGGTAGTCAAATCAACACAGAACAGACTCTAGCTTCTCAATTATCATGCATGTTGCCAACCACGACAACACCTTTATTATAGTGAATGTTCACTCAGGCTCCTTGAATTTGGCTGGAAGTTGAACAGTCCCACGGGATCCTTCAGGTGATAAAACGAGGCTGTGTTAGTTCCTTCCCAAGAACCCAAGCTTCTGACATGCTCCGCAGACACAACCTGGACTGCAGAACCCGATTCTCTTTACACAGGAACACACACACCAGTGCTTGGCCTTTTCTGATGCCACAGGCGGACAGGCAAGTTCAAAGTCTGGACACAGAGGCACTTCCAAAATTTGGCAAGAAAAAGGAGGCGAGTTCACTAAGTGGGGCTTTATCACTGTGCTCTCTCGTATGTATAAGACATGTGTGGCACGGGGACACAGGAAGAGATCTTTAGGTTGTGGATGGGTCATGCTTTTTCTTCTTGCCCCGGCAGGACTTGCAGACACAACAGATTATACATGGGGAAGCCAGAAGTAGCAAGGGTGAAGTCACCAAGGCAATGATGCCCAACCCCACAAGAATCCCAACAACCTGGAAATTTAGAAAAAAGGAGAAAAAAAACTATTTTAGCAGTTAAATCTTCGTATATGTGTATTATACTATCAACTATGGACTCAAAATTCACATTGAGCCTGCACAGCATGGCTCAGCGATTGAGCATCGACCTATGATTCCAGGAGATCGAGGTATGATTCCTGGTCAGGGCACATTGCCTGGGTTGTGGGCTCGATCTCCAGTGGGGGGCGTGCAGGAGGCAGCTGATCCATGACTCTCTCATAATTGATGTTTTTATCTCTTTCTCTCTCTCCCTCTCCCTTCTTTTCTCTAAAACCAATAAAGATATACTTAAAAAATAAATTAAATAAATGTATTTTTTTAAATTCACATTGAAAGCCTAATCCCCAATAATGATGTTTGGAAATGAGGTTCCTTGGGAGGTAATTAGGACATGAGGGTGGAGCCCTCATGACGGGATTAGTGCCCTTATAAGAGACACCAGATAGCTTGCTGCCTCTCCCCCCTCTGCCATGTTAGAAGATGGGCATCTGTAAACCAACAAGAGAGTCCTCGCCGGAAACCAACCCCAACTCTAGTGGCACCTTGATCTTGAACTTCTAGTCTCTAGAACCGTGACAAATAAATTTCTGTGGTTTAAGCGACCCAGTCTACAGTAATTTGTTACAGCAGCCTGAGCTGACTAAGACACCATCTCAGACGCACAAAACGGTCTCAACTATGGGACCTTTTAGCCGGTCCCCAGCAATGGCCTGAAGTGAATTAACCAGGAAGATACCAGAGACGAAATCAAAGGGGAGAACCAACCAACCAAATGCTAACTCAGGCCCTGGCACGAGCTCAGTATAATCATGAAATGTTGGTGTTGGCTCTCTCTCTACCTGAGTTTCCTCAACAAGTCTCATAGGGATGTTAATAATGATTACTAGGCTATTAACACTGACTCCTTCAAAAGGAACATGGCCTTTAATAAATATGAAACACTATTAAAAACAAAACAAAACAGGGCTCCCTTTGAACCTGTCAGAGTCACACAATGCCATGCACAGAGGGATCTGAGCCCCAGCAGGGCTCACTGGGTGTTAGAGCACTGCCTTTCAGAGCAAATGTGCCATAAAGGGCTGCAGGAAAAGTCATTCCACCATTTTTTCAGAAGGAAAGAACATCTGCCCTCGTTCTGAAAGTCACTGTTAATTACTTGGCTGCTCTGGGGCCCTGCCCCTCCACCTATCCTCAAGAACACTGTGCTCACCAATTAATTCCAGGCAACTGCTCCAGTACTTTTCCCTAGCCCTGCCCCGGGACACCCCAGAGCCTCCTGGGCTGGAATGGGAAGCGGGGGTAAAGTGGGGGGATGAACACGTAGGCTTTCTAAGCCATTATGAGTCTGGTTTGTTTCATGCCCCTTTCAAGGTCAGGGTACCTGTGTCCGGTTCCATATCACTGAGGCTCTTGAATGGCCGAGCTTATTCCTACATGGCCCTTTGTCGTAATGTCTGAGGAAAATGTCGTTCTGAAAAACAAAGAGAAAAGTTTTGGTTAACTTTAGCGGAAGCACAGGCTCTTTCTGGTGATATTAGTTAACAGCCTCTAGGTATTCCAAACCCATGATCCTTAGACTGTACCACAGTAGTTCTATATATCACCAAGTGAAAACAGATCATAATCAGTGAGACTCTTGACTGAGTCTAATAGAGATAAATGGCCTGACCAACTATCATCGAAAGGCAGCTCTATCAGAGGTGTGATATGGAATGAGAGGACCGTGAGTGAGGCAGCTAAAAGGTGGTTGTAGCAAACAAGGCGATAAAATGCCAGTGGTTGAGATGGAGAAAAGGAAAATACAATCATGAGATATTAAGACAGTAACTAACCAGGTGGGGAAACTGGGAGAAATCACAGATGAGGGGAAACAGAATGGCAGTGGCTTTGTTGAGAGAAACAACACAGAGATGGATTTTGTTGGGAGGTGACAAGCAGAGTTTAGACATGTTGAACTTGAGAGATACTTGAGACATCCAAGCAGTACTGTTCAAAAGGCAGCTGGTTACATAGATGTGGATTTGGGGGAAAAGACTTGGGAATCAGTGTACATGGGGTAGAAGAAACCACAGAAGTAAATGAGATCACCCGGGGAGAGTATAGACTGAGAGGCAAACAGGCTGTTGAACGCAAACATGTAAGAATGGGTCAAGGGAGAGCCTGGAAAAGAAACTGAGGAGTGGCCAGAAATATAGACAGGAAACCTGAAGAGCTGGAATCACTGAAACGGAGGTGGTCAAGACGTGAAAAGCAGCAGAGAATCTAGGTAAGATGAGGACTGAAGTGTCCCTTGGATTTCACCCAAAAGCAGTCACTCAGAGCCTTGGAAGAAGAGTCAGAGTGTGACTAAATGGCAATCTGAGCTCGGCAATGACTGGAGGTAAGTGTCAACAGCTTGAGTTGATTATGCTTTATTTTATTATTTTTTTTATTAAACCTTACCCAAGGATATTTTTTCCACTGATGTTTTAGAGAGAGTGGGAGGGAGGGAGGGGAAGAGAGAGAAACATTGATGTGAAAGAGACACGTTGATTTGTTGCCTCCGACACTCGCCCCAACCAGAGCCAGGGACGGAATCTGCAACCCAGGTACATGGCCTCCACCAGGAATCAAACCCACAACCCTTCAGTGTGCAGGCGAATACTCTAACCACTGAGCACACTGGCCAGGGCTGATTATTGAGGCTTGGCTGCTGAAGCGGGGAGAGAAATAGAATGGCTGTAAGGGAAAGATGTAGGCTTGAGAAAAGTATTATTCACGTTTCAATGGGAACCAGCTGAATGCCTGGATAAGTTACTGACTAGAGAGTGGGGAGTAGAAGTTGAAGTCAGAAGAGAGAGAAGGGAATAATTGAAGGGGACAAGTCGCCAAGGTTCCCAAAGCAGAGGTTTAAGAATACCTCATCCTCGCCTGGCCGGCGTGGCTCAGCAGTTGAGCATCAACTTAGGATCCAAGAAATCTGGGTTCAATTCACTGTCAGGGCACATGCCCGGGTTGCGGGCTTGATCCCCAGCAGGGGGCGTGCAGGAGGCAGCCGATCAATGGCTCTCTCACATCACTGATGTTTCTATCTCTCTCCCACTCCCTTCCTCTCTCTCTGAAATCAATAAAAATATATTTTAAAAAACAAAACAACAACACCTCATCCTCCCACCATGGTAGCTTATAAGATTGGAACTATCTCAGCTAAAATTTTTAAATCTAATTCAAATGTATTTGAGTGAAGGATTTTTTTAGAATTTATCTTTATTGTTGAAAGTATTACAGATGCCCCCTTTTTTTCCCCATTGACCCCCTCCACCCGGAACCACTCCCCAGGCCTCCACCGCACTACTGTCTGTGTCCACAGGTTATGCATAGATACATGTAAGTTCTTTGGTTAATCTCTGCCCGCCCTGCCTTCTCCCCTCTTGCATCTGAGATCTCTCAGTCTGTTCCATGCTTCCATGTTTCTGGATCTATTTTGTTCATCACTTTATTAAGTTCTTTAGATTCCACATATAAGTGAGATTATGGATGTTTTGTCTTTCTCTGCCTGGCTTATTTTGCTTAGCATAATACTCTCCGGATCCTTCCATGCTGTCTCAAAGGATAACAGATCCTTCTTCTTTACAGCTGCATAGTATTCCATGGTGTAAATGTCCCACAGCTTTTTTATCTACTCAGCTACTGATGGGCACTTGGGCTGTTTCCAGATCTTAGCTATTGTAAATAGTGCTGCTATGAACACAGGAGTGCATATATTCTTTCTTGGTGTTTCAGGATTCTTAGGATATATTCCTAGAAGAGTGAAGAAATTTTTTCCCCACATTCTCTTGATGTTAAAATTTAACCAGCATTAATAATGGTAGGACAGAAGAGCAAGTGTATTCAAAGATCAACAGCCTATATCTTTTTAACACTATCTCAAAGCAGTAAGGACTTTGTGAGTTTATCATTTTTTTAAACAATTAGATATTTTAAATTAAGTAATCAACTATACATCTTCCTCTCACTGCAGTTTTGTGTTTAGCCTCATTTCTCTTCATCAGCTGAAGGAATGTGCTTTTATAAAGTCTCAGTGGTGGGAGAAGACTGAAAACTCATCTGGGATTTTCCTGCTGTGACTGACACATTCTTCTAATTTATGACACTTGTCTGATGCTTTTCGTTAGGTGGTTTCCTTTAAGCTTCACAGATGCTCTGAGAGGTGGCTATTATTCCTCTTTGAAGATGAAGTCATTGTGCCTGGTCACCTGGTGGAGAGAGGCAGAGCCAGGAGTCAAATCCAGTGCTCCTTCACCCCACCAAGGTGCCTTGGGACCTTCTCAGATGTCACTCGGCTGATCTGACCAGCTAACTGATCATGGCAAATGCCGTATGTAACCTTTCATGAGGCCATAGGAGGGCTTCCTGCAGCTGAAACTTGTGTGGGGCGTTGTCTAGATGGACACCACCCAAAGAGTGGTCTTGACTCCATCAGCTCCATTTGGAGTGTCTCAGAAATGCCAGTTCCTAGGCCCCACTGCAGACCGCTGAAGTTGGGTATTGTGCCTATGCTTTAACATGCCTTCCATGTGTTTCTGATGTTCACTAGTGTCCTGGGATCCAGTGGTGGTTCTAGGTGTTCTCTGGAAGGTCAAATGAGTTTGGGGGAAGCTGAATCTTGAAGGTGTGGAATGTATGTTAGTATGTCAGTGAACCTGTTTATTTAACCTAGGGAGTCCCAAACACATTAGGTTATGGAGATTTTTTTGGCAAGTTTCCTTGCCCAAGTTTCTAGGGGATACTGTTCTAGGCCGAAGTGACCTTAGGACAGCTCAAGGAAACCCTTCACAACCTGTAAGAAATTAGAATGTGGCAGTGTTAGTTCTCAATCTTTACAGTTCACATCTGCCATGAAGCTTTCAGGTGACACAAACAAGTCCAACCAAGTAGATGTCAACCTCACTAAAACGCATGTTATATGGAATAAGTGCTTTTAATTCTAGGCTTAGGATAGGAATTCCTGTATCTTCTTAAATGAGATTGGTTTCAGGACAGCATTACAATTACCTTACACAGCACTTGACAAAGTGTTAAGGGAATATGTGAATGTCATACATATTCATGGATTTTCAGTCACTTTGTGAGACTTTGACCTTTTTTATTTTCCAGCTTGGGACTTTTTTGCTTCTATATCTGAAATGACTGTAAAACAGATTTTTTGTGAGAATTTAAAAAACTCTATCAAAACATCTTGGGGGCATCATAAAGCCCCATTCACAGTAGTGTACATGAAAGCACAGAAAATGCTACAAGTTTCATTGATTTTAGTACTACTATTAAGTTAATCAATTTTTGCTCGTCTCATGATTAATCTTTTTTAAAGTTTGTCCATAGGTAACAAAGCGTTGCTGTTTAAGGTACATAAAGGGGGGTGAGCTAATCGTGGCGTCTATTAAGTAGGATGGTCAGAGGTGAAGAATTAGGGTTCTCTCTTCAGTATGTTCCCATGTGTACTCAGCTTCCTGCCCTGGGCTCTGCTGGAGTGCCTGCTCTTTGCACACGCTCTCCTACCCTCTGAAGTCTGCTCACTGCACCTCTTGAACGTACTTACGACAGTCTGCACATTATGGAAAAAGGCAAATTTCATAAGTTTGTGCTCTGCTAACTGTAGATATTCATTACTCTATGAGTTATCTATTTTTATAACCACCTGTGGTCTAACATCTCTTACTGATTATGGCACTAGGGAGGGAGATATCCAGAAAAGACGCTTAATTTGTACAATTTCAGCCAATCTGTGGATGTAAAAACTACACTACTGCCTTGCTATAACCCAATCCACTATAATATGGGGAATGATTTGTCTTGAAATCCATCCTAGCGGGTGGAGTTGAGCTGAACTCCTTCTGGCTTTTCATTGAACTCTTTAACTATAACATGGCCCCATGGCATCGGCCCAAGGAGTGGTAAGACGCCAGTGTGCAAAGGGCTCTTCAGTTTTTCCATTAATTCTCATCTAAGAGCCTTTTACTTACATGTGTACTGTATTTATTTACACATTGTAGGTGGATAATATTTAAAAGCCTGGTTTAATAAACATTTAAACCTTCCCCCAAAAGAAAGAATACCTAACTTTGCATAGTGACAGTATTGTAGCCAGTGAGGTTTATCCGAGGTACAATTACTGCTAATTGGAAAACACACACACACACACACACAAGAATGCCTCATCCTCTGAAACAGCAGAGGCAAGGATCAAGGCAGGAACACGCTCAAAGCCTGGGAAAGACTCAACATCTCTCGTTTGGTGTCTGTCTCGGGACTGGCTTTTGGACAAGCACCCTTCCCCGAGACCCATGCTCTAAAACTTTCCTATAAACAAGGATCACCTCCACCATCTGACACGGAACACTCGTCTACAGGAAAACATCATTACCAACAAGCCAATGCCCCTGGCTAAAACTAAGAAGCAAGGACTCCGAGAACAATGACCAGAAAAGATACTGTGTATCCAGCACCTGGCATCTGCGCCAGAACAGTGTGTTCTCTGCAGCTCCATGCCACAAGCACACTTCAGCCAGAGGAGAAGGGGATCTGCAGCACACATTTATTCCCTCACACTCTGGCTTCCTAAAGAGAACCTCATGGGCTCAGCCTGCTTGTGGATCTGAACCCAATTAACATTCTGGTGAAACCTGGAGGAAAACAAAAAAAGACTCCTTCCATTTGTAAAGCGTGAGGGGTGTGCAATCCGTCAGATCCTCATCTGGACTAGCACTCAACTGGATTTATGAGAGGTCTCGAGTACCAAACATAATTGTGATTCAAGGGCGAGAACAGAATTTTTAAGAGAAAACATTGCTCTCAACCTGAGCTGCTAAGCTTCCAGAGTCTAAAATGTCAATTTTCTTCTCCCCAACTTATACCTCTTCTTGAAATACTGACATAAAACTGATTAAGATTCTTACTCATAGATGTCATCCTAAACAACTTATATCGAATTTCAGTTAAAAACCAGGCACATGGGGGCCAGCAAACATCCTGTGTCTCCTGCACACTCACTCCCCAACTGCGGATGATGCTAAAGCTCTAAAAGACTTGCTTACTGAATTGGAGCGAACTGAGCAATTAAAATGCAAAGCTGAGAAAAGAATGGCCACCCAACCATGACTGAGGGCTGACACTGATATGGACATATTTTATAGGTCCAAACTGCCAAAATTGGTAATACCTATAAACAACTCAGGCTGCCTCAAACGTTAAAGCACTGTAACTGAAAACAGTAGAATGAATTCTCAACAATCCTTTACACCATCTTTTAGCTCATAGGTTATCATTAGCCTTAGCACGGGACTGAATGAAACTGCACCTGAACTTGAGGAGACATGCTTCGTGAATGGTTAGGATAAAGAACCATGAGACCAGACCTCTTTATCTAGAAGGGAACCCTGACAAAACAGTTGAAGTGAATGAGACAGTTATTTGAGAGACACCATTGATGTGAATGGCTTTTTTTCTTTAAATTCAAAAAGAGGAAAACCACCTAATTGTGGTAGGCAGGATAACTGCTCCCCTAAAGATGCCCATGGGTTTTCCCCCAGAACTTGTGAAAATGTTACCTTACATGGCAAAAGGGACTCTGTAAGTGTGATTAAATTAAGACCTTGAGATAGGGGAGATGATCCTGTATTGTCCAGACGGGCTCAATCTAATCTCACTGGTCCTTAACGGCAGAGGAGCTTTCCCAGCTGCGGTCAGAGGGAATGGCTCTGGAAAGAAGGGCCAGAGAGATGGGATGTTGTGGCCTCAGAAGACAGAGAAAGGGGCCACAAGCCAAGGAATGCAGGCAGCCTTGAGAAACTGGAAAAGGCCAAGAAATGGATTCTCCCCTAGAGCCTGCAGAAAAAAATGCAGCCCTAAGGACACCTTGATTTTAATCCAGTGAGACCCACATTAGACTTCTGATGTACAGAGATAAATTTGTGTGAAGCCAAAATTTTGTGGTAATTTGTGATAATAGCAACATAAAACTAATCCACTAACAGTCCTTTACATAATAGGATGAGACAATGAATGCGCCCAAAGCAGGACATGTCCCTAAAATGAAAGCTTGCCTTTGAAAGCCAAGGTGACACATCTCTGGCAATCAAGGAGAGGTTTCACGGACATCTAAGGTAGCAGGCTCAGGAAGTCTCGTTAAGAAAGATAAATCCTTTGGCAGGACAGAAATATTTTGAACAGAAAGCCTGTAGGACGCCAGCTGTCGCATGGGTAGTGCGGAGAAAGACGACCCGAGCAGAGTCCGCGTCGCGAACTTACGTCCAGGTTCTGGAGACAGTACCAGCAAAACGTGTGCTTGCAGTTCTTGCACATCATCTGGGCGCAGCCTTCGTTGCGCTCGATGTACACCAGGCAGACCGGGCACTGCTTAATGGGCGCGTCCGCGGCTGTCCCGAAGAGGGCCCTAGGAACAAGCGGGTCAGAAATCACAGCGCGGGCTGCAGAATGAGGCCTGATTTTTTAAAAAGCTAGGACCACCAGGGTAAATACCAACCAGAGCTACGGTAAGAATGGGCTAAAGATAATTAACTGATTAAACAGTGCCCTGCTAGACTCAGTTTCACGGTCAGCGATGGAATTCCTAGGGCTCCTGATGGGTAGGTAGGGGACTCTTGAGCTGGGCTTACTTCACCCCAGGGAAAAGGGTGGGGGGGGAAATAGGAGAGACGGGGATTATTAGTTGTTCAGATAACTCAAAACAAAAAAGACCTTAATTTATTTATCTTTGGCTTTGAGTGAATTATAGCATTGTATTTTCCACAGCTGATTTAATTCGTTGTTTTGCTGATTTAGTATTTCATTCCCTGAGCTGAATAAAAAGTGCAGGAGTCTGCTACACCGCAGAAAGACTAGCTCAGGATCTGACGGGACCCAGATAATCCATCTAATGAGCTGTTCAAATAAAGAAATGAAGGAGGCTGGGGGGGAGTCAATAATCAATACTTTAAAGTAAATGCCCAATGTCAGTGAAAAGACCAGCTCCAAACAGATGGATAGGCCAATACTGGGTCACAGCCTAGAGGGACACAGAAAATAAGGGAGGGAAAGTTGGGTGGGAGGGAAGGCTGGGTAAGCCACCACAGCACTGGGCTGTACTTTAGCTACTGTTTCATCAAAACCACCACCCAGCTTCCCAGGGTTGTAAAAACCTATGATAGAATTTGGTACCCACAATAACCTTACAGAGCACTGGGACAGTTACTATTTTAATTATCTTCCCACTCTGTATTTTTTCAAACAGAGAAACATCCCGTAGGGCCTGAGTGACTTGCATGAGGTCACACGGATGCCAAGTGACAATGTCAGAACTCAGTGCCTCTCCCTCTGGGATCTTTACATTGTCCTGTGATCCCCAGGACCTTACTGCGGTGGCAGTGAAAATGTAGGTACTGGCTGAAAGGGCACATGCCCACCATGTGGACTGGATCATCTCTCCCCTCTCAGTGTTTGGTCTGAGTCAGGCACAGTGTCGCAGCCAGGCAGCACTGCTGTTCCTCTCTGAGGTGCTGGGGGACTAAGCCAACTGGACTGCGACACTGGCATTTCTGCTCAAGCTGATGCAGAACAGCCATAGCCTCAAGCAAAGCATGGGATCAAACACAAAGGTCTCTCACTCCGGGCCCTGCTGCTGCCATGAAAAGCCTCCCTACTGAAAGGTACAGATTTAATTGCTTCTCACCATAACAGAATCTCAACCTTGGCACCATCTTTTCAAAGCCTCAAGTGTTGAGAGAGAAGCTCTTTTCCTCTAATGCCTTGAATTTAGCACCGTACTCTGCAGAAGGGCTGCTGTTTCTGCCGCTGTATTTTCCTGATATGACTGGCACACCTCAGGAGCTGGCAATTTAGTTAGGTAAGAAAATAACTTCTGCACTTTGCAAGCAGGAAGAAGGAGGTATGTCTGTCAATAGTTGGCGGGTATGATACTCAAGCAAATGGCTGTGGACAAGCTATGACTTCCAACTGAGAACCAGCGGACCACACGACTCTCTAACTAAACGGAAATCAAAACTCATACAAACTCTAATTGCAGCTGTGTCTGAAAGATGCTCCGGGGTAAATAACTAAAATCCCTCTAGAGATGCTTTGCGGGTCATTCTTTGTTCAAAGCTTACTGATCCTGAGACACTTCTCAGGAAGCGCTGCAGGGAAATCATGAATCTCTAAATTCCATCACAAGATAACTCCTCTTCCAAGCTACATATTTTGCGTTTCTGAGAAAACTAGTGAATAATCCCAAATGCCACATTTTTTTTCCTACCCGTGCTCTGTTGGTAAGATGATAGGCTGACTCTCCCTGCAGGAGACCTCGGCGTGCCAAGCATCCTTGCAACAGGAGCAGAACTTCAGGTGGCAGGAAGGGCACTCCACCAACACGGGCTGTCCTGGATCACCTGGTGCAACGGGGCACACTGTCTGACAGTCTGCGACGGGACACCACGTTCGGTAGGGGTCCAGGTGAACTTCTAAAGCGTAAAGAAAGAGAGTGTGATTGTCTATCTGTCTTTCATTCAAACTTGAGGCTTTCTCCCCTTCATTTATTCTCTTTGACAAGCTAACATTTATGGATGTTTAGGACAACCAAGGGTGGTGATTTCTTCACAAGGGATCCAAACCTACAAGGTCACTCAGCGCTGCCACATTTCTCAGAGTAGGTACTAACAGAACAGGCCAGCCCTGCCCTTCTAAACAGATAAGCAGTGTTCTCAATAACATAAATTTGCAACTCCTAAAATATTTCTCATCTTTCAGCACTCAAAATAGGCAAAAATCTCAAGTCCCTTCTACATTAAATGTGGGTACTATCTTGGAGGAAATTGGACATCAAGACCCTACCAAAGCAAAGAAAAAAAATTCAGAAAAGATTTTGTCCTTTCAGGCACTGGGAATTAGGTAGTGAGGTTTCTCTGCTGTTTAGTGAGAATTTAAACAAGGAAGAATCAAATAATTTAGGGGCCCAACAGTGTCTGGTATGGCTTAGCCAAAAGGTCAGATTGGCTGGCAACTTGGATCTTCTGCTGTCCTACCAATATGTCACTTGGCGACAATTTTTAAAAGACCCACATACTCTAAAAACCAAAGGTAGGGACTTTCACAAACCATAAAATGATAGTGTTGTCAGGCACCTCATAGGCTAGATCCATGTGGCATGCAGGAAAGAAGACACGGTTGGGGGGTGGATTACTGTCTCTCTCGTTACAAATCTTGTTCAATTTTCCATTTTCTACACAATAACAGAACCCATGTTCTTGTCATATAATATGGCCTTCAAGGGAATATATCAGATGAAAAACGATGTTATTTGAGGCGTAGAATAGCCCTTTTTTCTCTGAACCAATGTACAGGGTGGGGCAAAAGTAGGTTTATGGTTGTAAGTATGTGAAACACAGGGTTTATTCTTGAACTGTTATTTATTAATTATTGTATTATTGTATTATTTTCCATATGAACAACTGTACACCTACTTTTGCCCCACCCTGTGTTTTGCAAATTTTGAACTGATGAGATTCTAGTTTTAAATCTCCTAAAGCCTGTGATTCTTGAAAATTTCCACCCAGGAGGCAAAGAAACCCAAAGGGTGGCACAAAAGGAAATGAAAGTATTAAATATAAGCTTGGTTTTAAAGGTAATAATTTTACAAATTCAGTATCAGGGGGGAAAGTCTGAAATGTTCCAGTCAACACTGTCTCCATTAATGTCTCACCTAGAAAATGCAACAGTTGGATCTATTTTTATTATAGGTTTTCATTCAAAAAGAGCATCCTTAAACATATTTTCTTATTTAATTCTGGGGGATAGGGACTGGAGAATGATGAGCCAAATATAATCAGAAAAGGGAAACCTATGATTTATAGATCCTCAGACCCCAAGAGAGATGGACCATCTAAGATCCCTAAAACTTTGGGACAGGATGGGTAGAAAGCCAAGGGGATAGTGACACACATATACTCCAAGGTCTTACCTTGTATTTCCATACCATTTGTCTTTTCATCCAAACTCTTATAACTGTTTCACAAATACTAAGCCCAAAGAAATGAAGGCTGATATATAACTTAGAGCTAAGGACTCCCAGATCAGATATCTACTAACCATCCATTCTAAGTCACAAGTCTTTAAAAGTTTGATGATAAAGGCAAGTCTATAGGTTAAAACCATGAATAAGCAGCCAACCTACACATGGTTTCGACCTGAAAGCTTTCTAGCTTTTACCCAAATAAGGCAAAAGAAGAGATTTACATAATAAAGCAGTTGAACTTCATGGTGAGCTAAGTGAGCAGAGGGAGAGTCACAGACTACGTGGGAATAGTAGCCAAGGGCTACTGTAGGAAGAACAGATGGTAATAGCACAAAGTAGCAGCAAAGGGGTCTATTAGGAGGCTATTGTAGTCATCTAACCCAGGAGGATACACTGGATTACATGTTAGAAGTGGAAGTACTAAAAATCTGGAACACATTTTGAAGGCCAAACTGTCAAGATTTTCTAGTAGAGATGCAGTTGGATACAGTCATCTCAGTTGACAAACACTGAGCTAGAAATATGCCTGGAACATAGCAGTCACTGAATAAATGAGTAAAGTGATGTAGCAGAAGTATAAAAAATAGTATCTGTAGATCAATTCCTTTTGGTAATAAAAGACGACAGTAGCATAAACGGCAAGGTTGCATATTGTCCCACCCTTCATTCAGATATTTCCAGAGAACAGAAACAACTACCCTGGGAGATTTATTATTTTTTTTAAAGGACATATTGGAATCTCTTGGAGAAGAGAATCCAGACATACAAGTCTGGCCAGGTCACACTGAAACGGCGTCTGTCCTTCAGATTACCCTTCCGCCCCGCTCCTAGAAGAGCAGCTATACGGAAAGTCAATAGAAGCTAAAACAGTTGTTTTATTTTTTTTTAAATATTATAATTCTAATAGGCCATTAACAGCATAATTTTGCTTTACATACCTCAGGTAACACTGTGTTCCACAAGAGGGGCCTACAGGCCAGATTAGCAGAAAAGGAAAAGTGCTGAAGGGGCCTGAGACACTGGCAGCCCTGGCAGCTAAGGACTTCGCAGAACCCAAGCCAAAGGGGAACAGACTGACGGACGCCAGGTGGGGGCCTAATCACTGAGCACGAGCAAGAGCTGCCCTCCCCCCACCCTCACCTCCCCGCCAACAATACGAGAGGACACTGAGAGCAAAGGCAGTCCCACTGGATTAATGATTAATGGGGGGTTTTCAAAACACTTTTTTATTACTATTATGGTGAATTAAACTCTACTTCGTGGCTTTTGGCCTAGGAAACACAGTAATTACGGAGATAAACAGAATGCACACTTATCCAAAACATTTAGGGTCTAGTTTCTCCACCCGTCAAATTTCTTTTCCAAAGTTGGGGGAAAAACGAGCTAATGTATATTCAAGAGATGGGGAAAAGTTCAGAAATCTAGAAAAGAGAAACCAGGAGCATGTGTAAATCAGCCCCCAACTAACAGTGCCCCAAACACTTTAATATGAACATGATTTAAAAGTGATTAGTTGTGCGTAGGTGGCTGGGCATTGTCCTGTACACCGGAAGGTTGCCAGTTCGATTCCCGGTCAGGGCACACGCCCAGGTAGGGGGCATGCAGGAGGCAGCCGATTGATGTTTCTCTCTCTCTCCCCCACCCCCTTCCTCTCTCTCTCTCTCTCTCTAAAATAAATAAATAAATAAATAAATAAATAAATAAATAAATAAATAAATAATCATTTAAAAAATCTGTTTTAAGAAGTGATTAGTTGTAACATACTTACATCAGAGATGAACAAATTCACAGACTTGCACTGGAGTGTATTTATGAAAACGACAATGGATTACTGAAGTAAAGCCCCGTGACTATTAGATCTTAAAATTCTGCTTGTTAACGCACTTTTTGAAAGGCAGGAAATGCTATTTAAACTCTTTCCTACTTCTGTATTCTGACAATTATTGGGAAGTAGAAACATCTTAAGAAAATAAAACTGCTATGAGATCTAAAGGCCATATCTGACACCAATGCACACAGGGCCCTTGGTTTTCCTACCCGAGCTACCAGCGCCGGGTAGAGATTGTTTCTTATTCTATAGTACTATCTCAACTCACGTGAGTGGTTTCTCTGCCCTCCTCTACCGTAGTGAGGCTGTGGCCAAAAAGATATCAAATGCATTTTTATTATTGCGGGAACACCATGCCCCCAGGCTAATTTAATTATCAGTTGAAATAAATCAAACTGTTTTAATTTTTATGACCCACTGCATTTTTAATTATGCCAAAGTTAATTTGCTTTCTGATAGCTCAAAGAAAAAAGTCTTCTGAAGATAGTTAAAATGCAATTAAATTAAACTGATCAGAATTAACATCTGCTACAGGAAATACACCCAAACAGAGGCAGCCATCAGCAGAGGGGTTGCTCTCAAGGTAGTTGAAGGGAACCACAGAATTTCAAACTTGGAAACAACTTTTTAGGTAGGCTAGTCTAGCACTGTTGTATTAGTACCCACAGACCAGATGTTAAGAGTCTGCATAATGGGGTTAGTGAGCAGATGAAGGGATCAGGCCTTTTTCACCCCTAGAATACCATTCTCCATGTAACAATATAATCATGCTCCTAAACAGATTTTAGTTTCCACTATAATGTGGGAACATTCTCAGCACATCATGATCTCCTTGGAGGTGGTTGGAGTAAGGGGATTCGTGCTTATAGTAAAAGTATACTGTAAAGAAAACGCCTGTGACACGGTGGTATAAAGGAATTAGCATTGATTATCAAGTTTCTATATAACTCTCTAGAATCTATGACAATGAGGGTGGAAACATGCTGAAAAAGATTTGGACTAAGTTGAAAAGAAAACAGAAGTACAACTATTAGGCTATACTCTCAGTCCAAGGTATGCTCTAGGTCCTGGAAGATGCTTTCTTGGTCTGGTTCAGAAAACTGGGGGAAAGGTAAGATTTCGTGGTGGCAGTGACTGATAACAACAACAGTAACAGCCGTGATAATATACACATGACATTTTCTCATTCTCTACAACAGCCCTGTGATAACCATCCCACGTACACCCATTTTACAGATGCAGAGAGAAGTGCGCACAGGAAGCGACACTTCACCTTGTGCCTCTCATTCGAGTCCCCTTCAGAAATCCCATCCTACGTGCTGATAAGTGTCTTTTCCTGAAGATGTTTTAGTTTTTCCAAGGGAAACTCAACCTCGAGAGGGTGCTGTTTTAGATTTAAAACAGATCAACAAGAAGGAACCGGATGGTAAAGCAGAGGAAGCGTGAAGCTGGGGAGCAAGTGTTATCGCCCGAAAGCACAGAACAGCTTAGGGAGGAAACCCCAGCCTTTCATTCCCCCACGGCGAACACAGGCCCGGGAAGAAAACACACCCACCCACCCACGCACACACAGTAAGAGCAGGCTTGTGATCAGAAACTTGTGAAGAGGAAGGTGACTAATGAGAGAGACTAATGAGAGATGGGATTTTTATTTTAAAAATAAAAACTGAACTAATGATAAGGTCATTAAATGTCACAGTCTTACAAACAAACAAAAAACACTAAAAGACACCAAATAACTACCCAGGGAGCTCTGGTGAGATTAGACCTTACTGACCAGACACAAAGATGGGTGAGAGCATTTCACCAAGGAAAAATAAAAAAGAGTGAGATGAAACTCAAAGAGCCATATCATAAATGTTAATACTTAAGATGAAAGGAGGCTTGTGAAAAATGCTGAGAACAAAAGGGCTTTCAAAGAAAGATGAAACCAGCATCTGGAACGGCACTTAGTACCTAGCACATAGTAGATGCTCACTACATAAAAAATATTGAATACACGAGTGAATGCGGTAGGGTTAGCAGAGAGAAGGAAAACAAATTCTGATTTCACTTCACTTTTTTATGTAGAAGAACAACATGGCACTTAAAATAATTGTGTTTCTAGCCACTATCTGATAATACAGCTAGCCAAGAACAGACACATTAACCTACCAAGGAACTGAAGCAACTTGAAGTTTCAGCGAGTTTAAAGCGACCACAAAAATAGAAAAAGTGCTTAAAGACTAGAGATGGATAATGTTAACCCAGTTTTTGAAAAAATTCTTTTGAAAAAGTAGATTCTGGAAACAAGAGTAAAGCAAAATTCTCGCATTAATCATCAGGCATGTGCTTTGAGAGCAATAGAAAGTAAAGCCGTAATCACTAACACATGCCGAGCTTATTCCTGTTTCCTTGCTAATACTGGAAGACTGACACAGAGAGGGACGGCCACAAACAGCAGTGGCCGGCGGAAAGCCACAGATGGATGCGGAGGGGCGGCACAGAGCAGCCCGTCAATTCCGAACGGCGCTTCTCTGCTCTGTAGAAACAGGTGATTGGGGCCCATTCCTACTCGACATGTCCTTTTCCCTCACAAAGACTTAGATGGAAACAAAGACATATGTAACATAAATCAGAGGACAGCTAAAACACTGGATGAAAAACTAAAAACTGAGAAAAGAAACGTGGTAGGCAACAAGAGCCGGACAAAAACAATCATTTTTATAACTAAGACCTCAAAGTCGCCTAGCTGGTAAGGCTTGAGTTTGAGGTGATGACGAAGTCTAACGTGTAACAACGAGGTACACAACTCAGAGTACCCCAATCACGTATATTCCATTACGTAGCACTGTATTAACTTAAGTCTACTCTTACTTGAAGTGCCTATTTTCTAATATAATTATTCCTCATTGTTCGCATCTTAGGGACATACTTATTAGCTAAAAATGCCTTTTTATAATTACACTAATGGGTGAAATAGTAAATTTTATGTTATACATATTTTACCCCAATAAAAAAACATAGAATTAAATTTTTTTTATAGATGAGGAAGCTTAGACAGTCTATGTGATCCTAGGCAAGTTTAAATCTCTCAATTGTAAGTTTCTGCATCTGTAAAATAGGAATAATAAAATCATTTGTCAATTCATGGGAATCTCTTATGGGGCATCTGCCTAGAACTTATGAGAAAAAATAAATTCCATGTCTGAGTAAAACTATGTGATCACCTTATGATGCACCAAAGCAGAGATTGCAAGACCACCTATAAAAGACAGTCTGGCTCCAAAGCCTGCCCAACTTGATGGTAACCTGACTGAATACATCATCATAGCTAATTTCTAATGAAGAAATAAGCCAATCACACGCATGGACGAACACTACAAGAACATCAAAAAGTCCCAGTCACAAAGCAAAGTGTAGTGACATCTATCCAAGCACTTTCTGGGGAAAAGTGAGAGTCTTGACCAATGATCTTTCACATGTACCTCGCCTATGGCAAGGCCATTCCTGCTGGAACAACGGATGTGGCAGTGAAATGCGTATTACTAAGTGAAAGAAGGCAATCGTAGAAGGCAGCTGATTGATGTTTCTCTCTCTCTCCCTCTCCCTTTCTCTCTCTCCAAAAATCAGTAAAAAAATAAAATTAGTCTAATAAAGTTAAATCACATTAAAATGATACTCTCAGCCATCACTATAATTACAAAGGTAATACCAAAAGAACAAATGGTAAATATTACAAGGAGCAGTAAACGTGTTTGGGCGAATGTTTTGGAGTGATCTCTATGAGTACGAAAATTGGCAGTAAAACCCATTCTGAGGGTCACTTTTCTTTTGTAATAGTACTGTTATTGTGAACGTATCCAACTTCTGCAGAACTTCTCTCCCATGAGCCAAAGTAAAAATACAAAACAACCAATCTAGCCCTGGCCAGAGTGGTTCAGTAGGTGGAACATCATTCTATATACCAAAAGGTGACCATTCCGATCCCCGGTCAGGGCATCTGCTCAGGCTGCAGGTTTGATCCCCAGGCGAGGTGCATGCAGGGGCCAGCAGATCCATGTTTCTCACTCACATCAATGTTTCTCTCGCTCTCCCTCTCCTTTCTCTCTCTCTCTCAAATTAATAAAAACATATATTTTTAAAAAACAACCAATATAAGGGAAGTTCTATTTCCTGCTAGTCTGTATTTTTTCTGGCTGTGGCTGAGAAAGCTGAAATCGTATGTTGCCGTTACAGGTTTCCCCTTTCTGAGCACCCGCACGGCTTTGTCGACAGTCCACACGCAGCAGCCTTAGTCTTTCATGCATGTTGGTGGACAGATTACACGCGTAAAACCACATTCACCACCGGATAAAAAGAAGAGTGTATACATACCTCGTTCAAATTTTAACCGCTGATAAAGCTGAAACTGATCCACAGGTACCAAGCAGGCAATCTGAAAGCGGACACATTATACACATGAGATTTCAGTCATCACAGAGGCGCACGTTACCAGCCTTTTATGATCTCTCCTTGTTTCGCTTACTGTATCTTCTCTATACAAGTTGTTTGCAAACTTCTTGTCTTTGCACTGTTCACGCAGTGACACAAGCAGCAATCTCCAAGTCATCCCCAATCATCTGCCATGGCCAGGAGTCACTCAAGGCCCTAGTTACAGAACTAACTGACCACCTTCCATTCTTCAATCAGCAGCTACTAAGACCAGACAACGAAATTCTTAGACTCCCCAAATTATTTGTGTGCATTATGAAAGATGCTCTTTTTCTCCCTAGATTCATTTAAGACGTTTTTAAAAGATTATAGTTCTAGTTTTAGAACCCTTAAATACTAAAGTCAGGTAGATAGTGCCTCGGGAATTATGAACACTTCATTTGTTACCAAGGGAAGAGTACCTTCCAAGCAATGTAAAAAAATCATTTCTTCTGACCAAAAATCACTTCTAAAAATCATCTTGGTTTTTACGCATTGCCATCCCTTACCTGGTAGAAAAAAAATGCCTAAGATGTTTCTTGTGGCTAGACTCCTATTTCCACTTCAGACGGCAATGTGGACCAAAGGTTCACAAAGAGCAATTCATACCTAACCAAATGGCCTTGCAGATTTGTCATTTTTAAGTTGCATAAAAGTCAGGTGCAGGCAAAGCGAACTGCTTTTAAACTGGCATTCTAAAAAATAGTAATTCCACTGATGTCAACATGTAAGTATATTGACATGGCTTAAAGAGTTTATAACTGAGAAAAATCAACGAATTTGATATTAGGCTTCCAGACATTCAGCAAGCTGATACAGGACACACCTTGGCAATTCTGATTCTGAAGCATTACATATTTTTTGGTATAAAACATATCTTGGTGACGTTCTTGCAACTAATGGAAAGAAGTGTGCCTTGAGAAAAGCAGAATGAAAAAATGAGGCAGCTAAAATTGTACTTAATAAATAAATACATTTTAAAAGGTATTCAAAATTGAATTCTCCTACACACACACACACACACACACACACACACACAAAACGAGTTTATTTTGTAAATGAATGAACCTAAGTTAGTTAAATATATGAAGAACCAAAAAACAGCCAAGTTCTGTCTTCTCCATTTCAGGTAAAGTGAAGTAAAACACACATTTAAATGAATTATAACCTTTTTCTCCAGCTGAGGGGAAAATGTTTGCATTTTCATGTGGTACGTTAAGTAAAACCTCCTTAGCAGTCACTATAAAATATTATGGTTAATTTTATGTTATGTGTATTTCACCATAATTTTTTTTAAAGTATGATTACACGTTTATTCTACTGAAAGCCAGTTTTGTTTCATCTGTGATAATACTACCTGGACATCTTTCCTAAAAGACAAAGGCATCTCAAATAAAATATATTTGGAGACAGAAGGTGCAAGCAAGTGAAAGCGTGGGAGGCATTAAGGAATCAGAGTCCAGTTCCTGACTTAGTCAATGATTCATTTTAGGTGGTGGACAAATAATCTAATGCTACTTTGGTTTTTGGGCCAAGGTGACTTGGGAGATGATATCATCTGGGCCCAAGAGACCTCAGTGGTATTCTATAAATCTATTTTTAATAACTCCCTCACCCCCCAAAGAAAGCTATTTGAGGCTTTTCATGCTATGGGACAGTTCTATACTCTTCTTACACCACCCACAACTGTTTCTGGAATGATGAAGGCTTTCTTCAAGTCCCTCAAAATCAATCCTTAAAAATTCTGATGTTTTTCAGTGACAAGCAACTTATATAACAGCTAAGTCAAGTACAGTTTATAAAAGACAAAGCAAACAGGAGATAAATATTTTAGATACAGAAGAAATGCTAATGCAGAAATCAACGAGGTAAAAAAGTCAACAACAGTAGAGATGGATGTTTAATATTAAATTAGAAAGACAAATTTCATTAAAGGACATATTACTGCCAGCAGGAAAGTGAGAGATCTCTAATATTTTTTTGTCTTTCACTCTACTTTGAATCTCTTATTTATTTTTTTAAGTTAAAAGTTTGTATGGAATTAAGACTTGATAAGATAAATAAATTTTTCTATTGAAATTTGGGATCACAAAAAGTTAGGTCTATCACTTTTCCTCCTGTTCGATACTTCTGGAATAAAGATAAGCCCCAAACACACCATTCTCTCCCCACCCCTGCCATTTAGACTTGCATCTTCTCCAGAGACTTGTTGACAGTCTGTTATGGGTAAAGCACTGGCTGGAAGCCTGGGGATACAAATGAGCAAGGAGACACAGAAGTCACCCTCAAAGAACTTAAATTACTGGGGAGGCAATAAATATGCATAAGTTTTAAAAAAGATCTACTCCTTGATCTTATCGTTTGTTGGATTTCACAGATTAGAGCTCATTTTCTGAAATGTTTACCGCATGTTTGGCTTTAGATGAGAGAAAGCTGGATTAGGTTTTTTTAAAAAGAGGATCCAAAGTATTAAATTCCTATTCCACTGCCATTTGGAACAAAGTCACTGTTGCTCAAGGTCTTTCACAATTATAAAACTGAAATAAATGTTTTAGGATGATTACTGAAGGCTCACTCAGGCGACAGGTTAAAGGCCTACTCCTTAAAAAAATTTTTTTTAAGGAATTACAATTAAAATTAATTGTGAAAATGGAAATCTTAGCAAACTGTAAAATATTATAAGTATCTTATGGTATACAATTTCCTGCCAACAAAGAAATTCCAGAGCATTCAAAAATCGTATCAGGACATTCCTTTTTAACTTTTTTATTTTAAAATAATTTTAGACTCACAAAAAGTTGCAACAATTATACAGCACTTTTAAATGCCCTTTCCTCAACCTCTCCTAATGTTATCACCTTACATAACCATAGTTAACTATTTTAAATAATAAAACTTTCATTGATACAAAATAATTAAACAATCTGCAGGTCTTATTCAAATTTCACAAACTGACCCACAATGTCTCTTTTTTTTCAGTCCAGACCCAGTTCAGGACATCACCTTGCATGCAGTTCCCTTGTCTCCTCAGCCTTCTCTAACCTGGGGCAGTTCCTCAGTCTGTGTTTGCCTTTCATGACCTTGACATGTTTAGGAGAGTCCAGGCCAATTTTTTTGTACAATGCTCTCCAATTTGGCTTTGTCTGATGGTTTCTCATGATTAGGTCAAGGCTTTGCATTTTTGGCAACAACATCACAGAAGTAATATCGGGCCATCAGGAGGTAAATGAGGACAACTTGTCTCTACTGGTGATATTAACTTTCTAACTTGGTTAAGGTAGTATCTGCCAGGTTGCTCCAACCTTTGTAATCTTATAGGGAGATATTTTGAGATTCTGCGAATACCTTTGCCCATTAATTTGTGTATTTATCGAAAACTCTTGCCTACTATAATTATTACTGCACTATTTGCTTAATGATGATTTTCTATCTCCATCACTATTTGTTCATTGGAATCCTGCTGTAAGGAAGGGCTGCCCCTTCTTTCCCATGTATTTGTTTATTCATTTATTTATTTAGGTCCTTATGGACTGCTGACATTTATTGTGCTAGGCAGGTTCCAATCCATTACTAACCAAATCCATATTCAAGCAGTAGAAACAAAGATAGTTAAATGTCTTCTCAACTATCAAGAGACCACTGCACTCAGATTCACTACAAAAAAATCCTTAACATTATCTAGTTATATTTTGCTAGTTCTCTTTGAAATTTGTGCTAATCTACCTGTTAAACAAAAATGTCTCTCTCGATTATTCAAGGAGCTTATATGCACAAATTCATAACCCATGGACACAGACAATTGTATGGGGAAGGCCCGGGGGGTGAAGGGGATCAATTAGGGGGAAAGGAGGGATATCTGTAATACTTCCAACAATAAATATTTTTTAAAATTTCTCTTTCCTCCAACCCAAGCATGACAAACCAAGTTTCCTCCTCATCATCCCAGAGATTCTTTCCAAAAAAGAAAAACTTAACTCAAAGAGAAAATAGTTTCATTTTAATAGAAGGACAGCAATAATATCAGAACAATAATAACAAAATTTACTAACTCCCTACACTCATTTTTTTTTTTCTGGTAAAAATGAACCCGAGGATACTTATTAAGTACCCAGTTCCTACTCCGCTGAAAGCCTCCACTTTCCAGTCTACTCCTTCCATAGCAGAACATCACCAGGGAAGTTAGAATACACCTGAATGTGCTGGGTGCTTTAAGTATTACACATGACAGTTAATTGGATATATTCACGATTAAGAAGAAATTAAAAGTGTGGCACATCCTGGTTACCATTGACTATGACCACAGTACCTGAACCAGCCTTACCACCTCCATTGAAACCAGTCCTACAAAAACCAAAGAAACAAAGGATATGGACAGTGGAGCCTGTTTGCTAGAGAAATGTTTATGCTGAAAGTGGTATGTGTTCCCATAAAAAACATTGATAAATACAACCTATTTTTTCGTTTTGTTAGGAAAATGAAATGGTTAAAACATAGAAGCTAGGGAAAGCCAGGACAGAAGGGGGGAAATAGCCCAGACTTTACTTAGGTTTAGCCCTTTAAATCATACCTCTGCCACAGTTGCTTTAAAAAATTTTTTAAAAACAGGCTGAGCACGGGACACAACAGATCACTGCCTCTGGAGATGGAACTGACCTCTCGTAGACCATTACAAATCTTGAGGTGCTATGACTTGCAAAAATACTAGCAAGAGAAACAGGACTAGTCTTAAGAAATATGGCCACTTGCCCGGGCATCCCCCTCTTTCCTCTGCCCCAGCTTTGCGCTGTGAAAATGGGAGGAAAGAGTGGTAAGAGATGGCAAGTGGAGGCAGTGCCAATGGGTGATTTGGGGGACCATCCGGATCTCTAGTTCCAGCACCCTTTCCCAAAGCCACATTCGATGAACATGCAACATGAGTAAGAACTTTATTTTGCAAATGTAGCTTCAAATTCCCTAGTACTGCGCCCCCATGCCACCCATCCCTCTCCTAGTCTTCCGGAGTGCCCCACCCTAAGTCCCTTCCTATAGAATTCCGGAACCCCCTTCTTGGAAAGAGCAGCTGCACCCATCCTTCCTCGGGTGCCTGCTAGCAAGTGAAAGGCAGGCTGGTCACCCCAGCGCCCTAGGGCTTGAACGGAGGGCTGATGGGCGAGAAGCTGTTCCCCGCCATCCACCGCCAGCTGGCAGTGAGAAGTTCCATCCCTCAGGCCACTACTCAAATGAGTTATGTCCTCACCGCTCAAATGTTACATGGTCCAGACCGATGGCTCAGGCTCTCCCAGCAAGTGATGATACGGGACTTCCCAAACACTGTAAAGGAGCTGCCTAAAGTAGTCATCGCCTCTTTAGCAAGGCTACTAACTTCGAGCAAAGGCCTTGCCTGAGTGAAGTAATGCTATCAGAACAATCTGTGTCCTGCCTTTCATAATTCTATGTTGAACAAGATCCCTGGATCAAGTATATCAGAAAAGCCCCACCGAGCAACAGCTGAAAGTACCAGATGACACAAGGAAGGAAAGCTTTACTTTCCCTGGCTCTGGTGGAGCAGTTCTGGAAGCACAAGTCCTCTGGAGACACGGCCTCCCTGCAGCTTCGGTGACATTGAAGGGGAAGCTGCCTTTTCTACTGTCTCCTACATAAGCAAATAGCTCTGCAATTGGGCATTAAAGGCTTTGCTGATGAAGCTCTTCCTGACAAATGAGGCAGAGCCACAGCTGAGCCAATTTGGAGGCATTGAGAAGGAAGGCGAGGAGGACCTAAAGCCTGCAGGAGGCAGACAGACCGAACACAGCCAATGGTGTGAACTAGGCCATGTGGGGAAGCATTCGGAGGACAGGGCTTAAATTCCTTGTGTCCTTTGAAGATGAAGAAGTGTTGTAATTACAAGCATTTTATAAGACAATAAATGATAAAAAGCCATATATTATAATATAAATAGCAGCAGGACAAAGGGAACTTAAGCCTTAACCAGAATTATTTTTAACAAGCCGAGTATATTTATGTATTACCTATATAATTCAGCATTTTTTAAAGGTGGAAAATGTAGTCATGGAGATAGAGTCCAGTTAAGAGTAATGTGGATAAGCCCCATTGTGATACATTCAATAATATTTGGATTAAGAGCTCTGTATTATAATAGTAACTATTGCCCTGGCCAGTGTTGCTAAGTGGTTAGAGCATCAGCCCGTGAAATGAAGGGTCTCGGGTTTGATTCCTGGTCAAGGGCACATACCTAGGTTGCAGATTCGATCCCCAGCATTGGTCAGGGTGCGTGTGGGAGGCAACTAATCGATCTGCCTCTCTCATATCGATGTTTCTGTCTCTCCCCATTCCCTCCCTGTCTTCCACTCTGTCTAAAAAAAACACACCAAAAAACAATGGAAAAAAATCTCCTCAGGTGAGGTTTAACGCAAAATAATAATAACTATTATTATTATTGAGGAAAACTAGATGTAAAGCAAGTCAGAAAGGATGGCAGTAGAGCCCAAGTTTATGTGTACATATGGTATTGCTTTGAAAGGAGTAGTCCCATGTAAACTAATGATGCTACCAATATCTCCAACATAATTTTCTATTAACTTCTCAATTCAAAATGAGAGAAATCACTACCACCACCATCACATGTTTTTACTCTGAAAAAAATATTGTGGCAAGTTGGTTACGAACATGATCACTGTACAGTCCTGCCCATCTTCAGTCAGGCGCTTAGCAGGACCAGTAAGTACATGAAGGTCCATTAACACCCTGGAGCATCTTCTTACTCATCTAACGGGAAACAGACTTTAGAGAATTGAATAAATACCACGGTTTCATTTGCAATATGCTTCTGCTCTGTTTTTGCAAATATCCTTTTATAATTTTTAAGAGCCACCACAGGTTTGCTTGGTTTTAACACAGCCTACAAGTAAAATTGTTTTTAGAGTAAAATTGCGTAAATGGAATCAGAACTAGGAAAGCATGAATGAGAATGGGTACGGGGGGATGGGGGAAGGATTAACAAGAAGACAACTGCGGGGGAACTCGAAAAGAAAATGTCTATACTAAGAAAATCAGGAAAGTTACTAAGCTCTGTTCCAGAGAACTGTGAGACAAATGACAGCCTTCGCTCACTGGTCTGAACACATCAGCCCTAACATTTGATATCCAGTGTCAACGGCTAATAGTTACTATGCATATAAAAGTCGAGAACAACACTATGCAATTGAACTTTCTGCTCTGATGGAAATGTTCTGTTCTGCGCTGTCCAATCTGGCAGTCACTAGCCACATGTGGCTACTGAGCTCTTAAAATGTGATTAGCGCAACCAAAGGAATGAGCTTTTTATTTTATCTAATTTTAATGAATTTAATTGTAAATAGCCACATGATGCCAGTGGCCACTGGATCAGACAGCACAGGTGTAGAATACAGGACTGTGATTAACCTCAAAGGCTTGTTTTGAAGCTTTGTCAAACCATTTCATTTATGTTTAATAGATTTTGCATACCTGAGTTAAGTCAGATTTCATATGCTGCCTGCTCCATATCACCCAAGGATATTTTTTCCACTGCTTTTCAGAGAGAGTGGAAGGGAGAGAGAAATCAGTGTGAGAGAGACACATCAATCGGTTGCGTCCCGCACGCACCCTGACCAGGGCCGGGGATTGAGCCTGCCACCGAGGTACATGCCCTTGGCCGGAATAGAATCCGGACCCTTTGGTCCACAGGCTGATGCTCTAACCACTGAGCCAAACCAGCTAAGGCTCCATATCACACTTTCCACTTTCATAATCAGTTTAATGTCTCTCTGGTAGTCAAGAGATAGCACTCTCGGAAGGATTATGCATAAAAAGATGCTCCTGAATACCTGAATCTCATTTTAAAAACTGTATCCAGGTTGCATAGATGAAGAGTATTCTTGGTAACCAACTCATCTTTCCCCACTTTAATTGCCTTCTGCCCATTACTCACGCACAAGTAAGCAATATTTCTCACCACAGCTTTACATATTCAATATTACACTTTTATCAAAAAAATCAATTATTTTATGATTTTCCTAAAATGAATCACTTCTAAACCATTACATACTCCTTTGATTCTTCCCTAAAAAAACACTTCAAGCTATCATGTACCACTGAGCTGATACTCCATAAGCTGAACACAGGACCTCCAAAGGCACACTGATTAGAAGTTGTCTATAACATCTGACTGCTTTGCTCACAAAGCAAAAAATTATATGTAAGAGTATATATCTTTGTAAACAAAGGATGTATATACACACACGCACACATACACACACTCACATACATATCCACACATATATAGCTATACACACACCTGCATTATTCAGCTCCCAATTATCAACTTCATCACACATTCTATCTATTTACCTAGTTCTACTCTTAGAGCCATATAATTACATATAAAAAGGTGGTCAGAAGAACTGCATTAGATTCCTAGCTCTTCTACCTTTTTTAGATATGTATGTACTTTGGGACAAATTACTTACTTAAACCCTCTGGGTCTCAACTTTATCAGTGTGTTGAAAGGATTAGATAGATAGTACGCTGGGTATGAAAGCAACTGGAAGAGGGCCTGATGCACAGCAGGTGTGCTGTGTTTGCTGAATGAATAACTTACTGCATCTGTTTCTTGGGACCTCTTTGAGTCGCTTACCAACTCCCTACAAATGGGCAAGAGTTGGTTATCTTCTCATTTATAGTGAACAGGCTCTGAATATTAAAGGTAGATTTAAGGGCAAGCTACTAATCAGGCACTGAAGAAACAAAGGAAAGAGGCATATCCCAGTCTTAAGAAAATGGTGGGAGCATTCACTGAAAAAAGACAAATGAGAGGTTCTTCTCTGCTCTTTGGAAATGGTTCAACTCAGGCTACCTTCATAGACACAAATACTAGTTTATTGTCTGTCTGTAACCGTGACTAATCTGTTGTTAGTTTATCTTTAAAGTATGAGAGATTACAAAACCACTCACTATTCAGCCTCTAAGCCTCACATTTAGTAAATCTGATTTCTACACCTTTGCCTGTCTGTTCTAGAGCTTCTTCAGCTCAGACAGCATTTATAAATAGAACTGAGGTAAACAGTAGCTTTAACAGTTTGTATAAAGAATCCTAAGGTGTGTAGCAATAAAGTACTCCTTTAAAAAGTCAACCTCTGTCTTTTGTTTCTAGACTCCCTGTTAGGGAGTACACATAGTCAAGATCCTAGGATGCCTGACCAGGCGTGGCTCAGGGGTTGAGCATCGACCTAGGATCCAGGAGATTGCAGTTTGATTCCCAGTCAGGGCACATGCCCAGGTTGCAGGCTTACATGCAGGAGGCAGTCAATCAATGACAACTCTCTCATCATTGATGTTTCTCTCTCTCCCCTTCCTTCCTCTCTCTGAAATCAATAAAGATATATTTAAAAAAAAAAAAAAAAAAGATCCTAGGAAATAATATCAAGAGGAAAGGGGGAGATCATGTCACTCATCCATACCTCAGCCTCCTGCAGGATCCCATGGTTTAGGCACACCATGTCAGGGCAAGTGATGGGAGACCCACATCCGTCTCGGATTGCCAGCTGCATGTACTGTTTCAGGCACTAGAAGTTAAGAAGAAAAAAGAGAATTACCCACCATGTTACAGTAGCAGAAGGTTACAAAACCACCACTGCCTCTTCTTCCTTACTTGGCAGTCCTAGGGCTCTTGTACTCGGGAAACGTAAGTTATCACAAATGTGAACACTAAGAGCCATCCCTTTGGAAAGAATGCAGAGACAGGCAATTTGGTATGACTTCATCCTAAGAATATTGAGTTTATTCAAGGCAGCAAGTCGAGTTCCTCCAGGCTCACATTTTATCCACCATAGATTGGGAAAAGAAAAACACTCTTTTGCTCTAATGGCAAAAGCCTTCTTTCTACTTTTTGTTTTTTTTAACTTATGTGACTTCCCAGTTTAATTTTCGTCTAGTGGTCCTCGCCCTCACAGTTTGCCCAGAAGGAGAACTGTGACCCTTGTGCTGAACTAGCCAAAGAGAAACAAAATGAAATTAAGGCACTGACTTATCCTGAACACCCTTAACAGCCAATATACCTGGGAAAAATAATGCCCAAGACAATTTGGGAGACTGAGACCTTCCCAAAACTAAGGGCCACGGTGAATGCTATGATGAGGAGGTGTGAGTAGAACCTGGGTAAAGAAGAAACTGATTGGCAAAAAGAAACCCAGAGAAGAGAGGAGGAAGACCCCCAAGGACAAACCTGTCTACTCATTGCCTGTTGCACCTGGATCTTGGGCAGGTGGAGATGTGAGTGAGACTGCGAAGGTAGGAGAGGGACTGACAGCACTATGGAAATCTCTCACCCCTCCTGTCTCCCGCCCATCCCACCCCACCAGCCCACAGGAGCCTGAAGGCCATAGTTTCAGAAGATAAAGCTCTTAAGAAATCTATAAGTTGGCTTTTCAATTTCCACAAATTTGCTCACAATTGGTCAGCTCTTTCCTATATGCATGATGAAAAAAAATCAAGCTGAAGTGTTAGAGGAAGACACCCCAAAATACATAAGCTTGTCAATGAATTAATGACTCTTACGAAGTGATCATTATTTATAGTTGAAGTCGGATCTTTCAAATTTACACATTTATGTAACCACCTGCTACATTAAAAATATTGCTGTTGCACCAACCTTTTATAAAAGCTTAACTACTAATAAATTTTATGGTTAGAATACCGATGACATAATTGTGAAATCTAGTCCTTTCATTGGCCATCTTTATTCATTTTCCCTGTCTGAAAATAAACTGATATCACAATTGTATTTCAGAGAGATAATCATGTATTTATCTGACTGACATTACTGTTACAATGTACTAATGAATCGATGACTAGGGCAAACCATTTAAACCAGATTTGCATCTCTTCAAGTACCTAATATTTCCCTTCTCCAAGGGGTAAATGTTTTCTATGATGCCCATCACAGAAAAAACAAACAAACAAAAACCCACTGGAAAAATAACCTAAATATCCAAAATAGAAGAACATATAAATATATAATCCTAAATCCATGCAATGGAAAGCTGAAGCATCATGAAAAATATTTTCAAATGCTGTTTAAAGATGGGAAAGTATTCGCAGTTTGGTACCAACTGTGGGATAAAAGGTGATTTAGTGTGAACTGGAGAGTTAAAGAAACCTGGGAGCAGGGGCCTTCTTACGTCCCTCTTCCCTCACAACTGACTACAATATAGATACTATATTTTAACTTTCACTTTCTTTTTCAAGAGAAGGGTGAACAGTCACTTTTGCTAGGAGTTACTGTGCCAAACGTGGTCTCCAGTGCCAGGAAGAGTGGTAAGTCGGAGAGAGCAGCAGCAAGGCAATATGGGGAAGAATTTAATTTCAATGGGCAGGTGACCTTGAGAGAAACAGAGAAGGTGGCTCGCAAAAGGAGTGTCATACCAAGGGACAGGTGAATGAACCACGTGGAGGCCTGTCCACCCACTCTGCTCCTAAGGACCTCTCAGCTTTCCTCCTGCCATGCAGATTCCACTGCTACTGCCTCGATCTCCCCAGCTGCCTCTCGCAAATTAAGTAGAAAGACTCTGAAAATGTATGGTCTCTAGGCTCAAGGGGAAGGTATCTGAGGAAATAAACATCAAATCCTAATAGCTGGGCTTTAGCCCTAGCACCAGTCTCTGTCACTTGACAATGGGGAAATTACTCAAACTATGACCCAGACATGCTTCCCTTAATTTTTAAAATGGGGACAATAATACCTGGTATGGTTACCCCACAGGGTTTAAAACACGCACACAAACACAAGTGTGAAATTCTGTATATGGAAACCCTTTGAAAATTTGCTAATTACAGGATATTTGGTCACGTTTCTACTCCACTTCATCTGTCTCAGACTTTCTCTGAAAAACATAGAGGGGAAATGTTAATCCTCTGACCTTCTCAGGTAATCCTTTCTCCATTCCCTGCGAGGGACCAGTTAAGCCACTCACGGTAGAGTCTCTCCACAGACAGAACAGATATTTGTAAAGGAACATCCACACGCCTCTATTCAAGCCTCTCCTCAGAACCATTTAGGTCTATACCTAAAGCTTAGAGTTACATAGGAAGTAAAAAGACTATATGAATCTTCAAAGGCAAAAATATTCTTTTCTACTTATACTGCAAATTTGTAAAGTTGAATCTAATCTTTCCCAAGAGTTTACAATGAATGTTCTATTTGCTAATGTAATGTTCTTAGGTGCACTGCAACCACAATACATAAGCCCAATGAATTTTTAGCTTCCCACAGGTACTCTCCTGGTCACAATATTACACGACCTATGATTTTAGGAGAAGAGTGAGAGCTGTATACACCAATGGCAGGGTGTAACTGTATACATCCTATATACCCTTTTTTTAAATGCTAAGAAACACTGGTTCAAGAAAGATTTGTAAGCACAAGTTGCTAAGTAATGCTGTATCGCAAGCACCTGACACTCCATCACTAGGGGCCTGCATTTCTATTCTACAGCAGAGGGAAAACAACCTCTAGTTATTGCTTAGAGCTAACTAAGCAGCTCTAGTTATTGCTTCTTATTAAATTTTCAAGTACCTTAGGTTCATGATCTGTCTTCTATTAGCTTGCACTAAAAATTTAATCTCAAACGCTCTCTCTCTTCTTCAAAATCTCTGGCTAAAGCACCAAAAAACTGAAAACATTCATGTGAACCCCTGTGCATGTTAGATGAACCAAATGATTCTGGAAGAAATTGGCATCCAGTTTGTAAATGAAAACAGAGGAGCACAGAAAAAGGAAAACAGTCATCATTTAGTCACGTTGAAAAAAAATTACATTNTAGTTTGTAAATGAAAACAGAGGAGCACAGAAAGAGAAAAAGGAAAACAGTCATCATTTAGTCACGTTGAAAAAAAATTACATTCCAATAACAACAGCATGAAACAAATGTTTAAATATGTAATTTTCACAACAGCTAACACATCCTAAGGGAAATGTTTTAAATAGAACATCCCAAATATCCCGATGACCAAAGAAAGAAAGAAAGAACTTTTCTTTTAGATAGCCAACATTCCGCTAGATTAGTTTGGTAGAACATAACATTTTTAGGCCATGAGGTGTCATGTATAATACGGATTGTTCCTCAAAATCATTCCACTGACTTCAAGGATTCAAGTGTGTTTTAACCAAGGATTTAACCATCAAATCTGGTGAACCGGATGACTTTTATTGTCTCTTCCAGCCCTGAGAGCCTATGAATTACGGACAATGGAACCTGCCCAGAAAGAGGTTTCTTCTAGACCCCTTTCAGGGGCGTTATTTTCCAATGTACCAAAAGGCATTCTTTTTTTAAAATATGTTGTTATTGATTTGTGAGACAGAGGAAGGCAGAGGGAGAGAGAGAAAAAAACATTTATATGAGAGAGAAACATCGATCGGTTGCCNTTTATTGATTTGTGAGACAGAGGAAGGCAGAGGGAGAGAGAGAGAAAAAAACATTTATATGAGAGAGAAACATCGATCGGTTGCCTTCCAAACACACCCTGACAGGGAATTAAACCTACAAGCTGGGTATGTGGTCTGACCGGAATCAAACTGAAGACCTTTCGATGCACAGGACAACACTCAACCAACTGAGCGACATCAGTCAGGGCCCAAAGGGCATTCTTCATAGGTCTTCTCATCTAATAGGTGGACAAGGCCAAAAGGGCCACAACATTTAGACAAAGCTCCTAATAGATCCACCCAAAATAATATACACATATACGTATATATTTACTCTAAAGTTGCTCATTCTCTGTCACCAGATTATACCTTTCTTTAAAATTTTCTCTAAGGAAAAAAAACATTATGTGAATAGTCAAGGGAACTGGATTCCAACTATCAAGACTGAAGTACCACCTCTAAAGTTTTCCTCAGCATCTTGGGCAAGTCTTTAACGTCTCCAGCTACAGCACTCTCAGTTATAAAATGGGACAATACTTCCTGCCGAGCCTACTCTCACAGAAATGGGGAGTCCTTCATGAGGGCAGATACATGAAAATACAATGAAAAGTGAAAAGAGGTATGCAAACATAAAGTATAATTGGAGAATAGATGTTTCTGAAGTATAGGCAGGCATGCAGAAATGAAAGTCTGCAAACAGATGCGACCCCCAGAGATTGATCTCATGGTGGTGGGGCAGGGAGGTAAGAGGAGAATATGTGTTGCTGGAAGGAAGGAGGTAATGTGTATACCATTAGCTGAAAGTTTAAATTGATCCCCAGGCTTCTGGATGCAGATGCTGGGGTTCTAAGGTCCAAGAAGGACTGGCAGACCACCTGGATTGAAGCTGAACTGATGAAATACTGGCCTTGGGTTTCTCATTCCTAACTCAGCTATAGATGGAAAGGAATGGATGAGGGGGAAAGTACCTTGAGTACAAAAGTTTGCTTTCTATCATTCCTGGCACAATGCTATATGCTAAAGTAAATATTTAATAAAGTGTAGACTAACACTTCTCTGCCTCAGTACACAATTACATCATAATGTCTCGAGCGTTCTAAATAACATCTAATATTTAGGCCAATACTCTGTTTATTCCAGTTC